GCGCAAAGGGCGCAAGCGGCGGCCTGTTATGAGGGCTATGGGCACCGCGGGCTCCGCGCCCAGCGCGGGCCCCGTCCACAGAAAGTCCTGGTCCTGGCGGGAGACGGGGCGGGGAGGAGGAACGGAACATGAACATCGAAGCACATCAGTGTTCGTGAATCGTTTTCGGCCCGTCGGGGCCTGAAGGTGGGGGGTAGCAAATAGTGGGCCGACGCACGGGCGCGGACGGTGTGGGGGGGGGCAGGGGGCGTGTTGAGGGAAGAGCAGGGGACCATCTACGTAACCTGGGAGGTAGCACTGCCCCAACCATGATGCTGTCCACACATCCCGCTACCCATCGGTAGAAGGAAGTAGGCAGAAACATGAAGTAGGAAAGGGTTGAAAATCGACTGGGTGCCCGCCCGCCTCCTCAGGAGGACGGAACAGGTGAAGCCACTCGATCACTGAAACAGGAAGGCGCTTGAAGTAGATTGGCATCTAGGAACCCAAAAGTACCTGCTTTCAACGACGGATGGGTCCACACATCCCACTCATCATCAGTCCGCCTTGGACACCCCCCGGCTCTGGGGGCCCGTTCCGGGCCCCAGGACCGTCAGACACCGCTCCGAGGCGAGAAACCTGGCCAGCAGGGGGCCTTGGAGGGGGTCCAGGTTTTGATTTTGAGCGGACTTGGGTTGGGAGGGGGTGATGGTGAACGTCATCTGATTTCTCAATTGGTGCACTCAGGGCACGTGCAGAATTCACCATGGTCACGAATCCTCCTACTCCTCCTCCGACTCCTCCTCCTCCTCCTCCTCCCGCTTCTCCTTCTCCCCCCACCCTCCTGCTCCTCCTCCTGCTCCCCCTCCTCCACCTCCTCCTCCCATCATTCATCCTCCTGCCACTCCTCCTCCTCCTCCTCCTCCTCCTCCTCCTCCTCCTCCTCCCACCTGCTAAAAAACGGAGGTAGGGACCAGGACCCCCTCGCACTAGACAAAACTCACGACGCAAGACTTTTGCAAGTCTTCGGCCCCTTGGCGCCCTGACCAGGCTCCAGGATTGTGAAAACACGACTCAGGATGAAACGCCACTCCCGAAGAACAGGGCCAAAAGGAACAGGTGCCCACGGGTCTGACGAGGAGGGCGAACAGTACACCGGAAACCCTTGATATTCAGACCTCGAAGGGCGCGACACAACACTCAGCAGGTGCGCGTGGCATCAAGCTGGTCACTCTCCCTGCGATCAAGGGAGACTGACGGCTCAACGCCGTCGCCGTCGTCGTCGTCGTCGTCGTCGTGGCCGCTACCGTCCTCGTCGCCGCGAGGCCCGTGCACCCACGTCGTTGCCAGCGGCAGGTCGCGCGCGACCGCGCGCTGTGCCGAATTCGCATTCCCGCCCGCCCGACGGACCCCCTGGCGAACAGCGTGTCTTTTTTTCCGCTTGCCCCACAGGGGGCCCCGCTGAAACTGGGTGGTGCAATAGATTCGAAAAATTGTGTTGCAAGTGTGTTGCGTCGGAGAATTGTATTTCATTGTGTTGCAGCTAGTGCAGTGTACGCGATAATCCAGCAACACGTGTGCGCACCGGAATGTATTGCACGCCCCAAACCTGTTGCAACCCCACGACCCCTTTTTGGGGTCAACCAGATCTTTGCTCACCAACAAAGCGTTCAAAGCAGCTGATAGAAAGTCTTTGCATAACCTATGAAGGGCTTGGTGGCGCCAGGGCGCTGGCAACCGTGGAAAGGCAAGAAGCACACCACGACCATGTCAAAGAATGTGGAAGGTGAAAAGCAAACAAGAAGCGATGCAACCTCCGCTGGAGATTCTGCAGACCTTGAAATGTTCCTCGGGAGGTCTCCAGATGCCTCCAAAGGTCACTAGCCTAGAGGCATCGGGACGCCTCTGGAAGCCGCAGGCACCGAAACAGCACAAGTTCCTCGAACCACACGCATCGAAACTCGCTCAAAATTGGAGGCGAATCCAGCAATGGCAGCACGAGACTTCCCTGAGGCCCATGAAGGGCGACCAGTACACCGGAAACCCTTGATATTCAGACCTCGAAGGGCGACACAACACGCAGCGGGTGCACGTGGCATCAAGCTGGTCACTCGCCCTGTGATCGAGGGAGACTGACGGCTTAACGTCGTCGTCATCGTCGTCGTAGTAGTCGTGGACGTCGTCGACGCCGATGTCGTTGACGTCGTCGACGACGACGTCGGTGCCTCCGAACAGTTCAGCAGCAGCCCGTCCGCGGGACCAGCCCCGCCCCCTCCCCGCTACGCTCGAGGGCTTCCCGCGGGCCGGGCCGAGGCTGGAGGAGAGAGGCCGCGAGACTCCTTCAGGCTGGCGATCAGCTGGGCCACGTGGAGCTGCCGCGCCCAAGCGCGCTTCACGTGGATGAACTGCCAGGAGGGGACGGACGGAGAAGGAGGAGGGACGAGGAGGACGCACGAGGAGGAGCATGGACGAAGAGGAGGAGGAGGAGCATGGACGACATGAGGATGGAGGAGAATGGGGACTCCTCTTCCTCCTCGTCCTTTCTTCTGCTGCTCCTCCACACTCCTCCTCCTCCTCCTCCTCCTCCTCCTCCTCCTCCACGCTCCTCCTCCTCCTCCTCCTCCTCCTCCTCAAACCTCTGACCACCCTTCCGTCTCCTCCTTCTCCACCGCCTCATACAGGACCCAGACCCCTCAGATCGTGAAAAAGACAAGGGCAATTGAAACAAACCAAAGACCGTGCTTTTTGTCGTGTTCTTTGGGGGCCTGATTCGAGCGCCCTATGATCTGTCAATTGGCACACTCAGAGCTTAACGACCGGCGTGATTTCTGATGTATGCGTGCACATGCAAAACCGTCGAGGCCTCGGCACGCACACCGCCACACATAATTAGGGGCACCATGGGATTCATGCACAGGCAAGCGCACCACATGCAGCCCACTCTCCCCCCCAATGGAGGAGGAGGAGGAGGAGGAGGAGGGAGCCAAACCTCCTCACACGCAGTGGCTTCTTGGAGCGATGTGCGGCCCCTGGGGGTTGTTACCAGGAAGTTAAGCTGGTCAAGGGAGTCGCGATCTCTGGCGGGGGGGGGGACACGCTGTGAACAAATCGCGACGGGGGTGCCTCGAAACCCAAGTCGAAACGATCCCAGGGGGGAAACCCAGGGAAGGTTCGGCTTCATAATGCTACTTGATTCTAGGGTTCTTTGACACGATGGAAAAAACGCGCGTGCTTGGCGTGTTGAATGGCAACCAATTGCATGCCTGATGTTACATGGCATTCGATGTGACCACCATACCGTATCGTGGACATTCGGCGCCGCGGCCTCATACGATGACGCTCGCCCCAGCGGACTGCAGAGAGACTGGCGACGGCTCGCGTACGGAAGACGGCGGCGAGACCAGCCTCGACATCGCCACCGACGGTGACCGCCAGTGCCTGCAGGTGGCGCCCCTCGGCCTGATGCCTGGGTCCTTCGCAGTGCCCCGCGGCTGCTCTCGAACATGCGCGTGGCGGAGCAATCGCAAGGCAGGGCCCCGCGCACTCCGCAGAGGCCGCACGCGCAGGTGGCCACGTCCGAGCCCTACCCCCACGAACCATCGACTCGCCTGAATCGATGGGCGGCGGGGGTCGGGCCTGGACTTCGCCACGTGTTCCACGAATCCCACCCGCCCTTTGGGCCGAGATGGTCTCACGATGATACCTGTCTGTCCTCTTCCAAAACCCTCGTCCCTTCAGGGAAGGGTACCCTCCCCCTCCTAACTCATTGAGGTTTGTTCCTGGGTTCCTCAGGGTGTCAAGGGGCCCGGTTTCGCCCAATGTGGCTCCTAGAGGGCCTCAGATGCTCGAACATGGCCTCCAAAGCGGCTCAAGACCAGCCGAAGATGGTGCAAGATAGCTTCCGATATGCCTCCAAGAGGCCCCAAGGAGGCCCCAAGACGGCTCCAAAGTGCTTAGATGGGCCCAAGATGGGCTTGAGAGGCCCCCAGGACGACCCCGAGAGCGCCCGAGAGCACCCCAGGAGGGACCCAAGAGGCGATTTTGAGTGCTCTCGGGGGGGGAGGGCTGGACAAAGGACCCCCCTTTGATCGATGGCCTCCAGGATGACCTCAAGAGGCCCTCCAGGGTTCCCAAGGTACCCCCAAAAGAGGGCTCCAAGAGGGCCCCAAGACGGCCCCAAGATCGCCCAAGAACGCCCCACGAGGGCCCCAACAAGCGATTTGCCTCCTCCTTCTCCCCTCGCCCCCCCGCGGGCACCAGGCCTGGCTCGAAGAGGCCCTCCAAGGCCACCCCCTTGCTCCCAGAGATCTTTGTGTTCATCCTGGTTGCCCGCTTTGTTTTATCATAGGATGTGTCGCTTCGTCCCTTTTTCCGTCAACTCTCATGGGCAACGTTTCTGAACGGGCTGTGGGGAGACTTTTTTGATCCGGGAGCGACATTGCACGACCGCGCGCCGTCAAGAGCGAAGCAGCAGCGCTACGAACGGTGGCGGTGGGGATACTTTTTGGTCAACAGGCTCGCGAGGCGGGTCGAAAGCCGTCCGAACGCTAGTCAAATGGCGGTGGGGATACTTTTAGTCAGCAGCCGCAAGCGAAAGCGCAAACGGCGAGTCGAGTCAGAGCCGGCCGCGCAAAGAGGCGGTGGGGATACATTTTTTGGGGGGGGTCGGCGGCTCCAAGGCAACGGTCAGGGAGCGAAAGCGGCGTCCGGGTGGCGGTACGGGGCGAATTTGCAAACAAAGCCGCCAGTGCCGGCGACAAAGCTCGATACGGTGGGGATACGCGACGCGTGAAGAATTCCGAATCCTACCCTCAGCGCTCATCGAGTTCCCTGAATCATTGATCGGCGAGGATAGGCTTCGGATTTCACCGCCGAAGACGCGGGCTGCAGGGTGGTCGACGAGAAGCCCGATGCCCAAGACAGGAGTGCTGGGCCACGCGGCGTGAGCAGCGTCGTGCCCGCGTGGCGCCCCCCAGGGCTCATACTGCGCAGGGGGAGCTGAGAAGCAACTCCTGGGAGGTCTTCGTCGAAACGATGAAGGACCACCGACGAGCCGGATTGAGCCGGACCGAGCCCGGGATCCAGCTGGATTCAGCGGGATTCTGCCAAATGGAGCGGGACGAAACCCGGCAGGCGGGATTAAACCAGATTGGGCCAGTTTGCGCCCAGGGAGACACCAGCGCCGATTCAAAGTCTGACCTCCCAGCAGCTGCATCCCGAGGGCAGAGTGGTGGGGAGGGCGCACTATCGGCCTTCCCCTGGGAGTTGGTTCAGTGATGCAGCTGACGTAGAAGAGACCCACAAAGGGAAGGGGGCGCCCGAGACCGCCTGGTCTGGCAGCGGTCCAGCAGCCGTTTCGCCCGAGACTTCCTCACAATGTGCAGTCGGCACGCCGTCAGAAGGAACCCCAAGTAAGGAGCGAGGCCCCTGTTCCATAAGTTCAACTTCGATCTCCAGTAGAGCACCCAAGGACAACCAAAGGCAAACGGTAAAACCATTAAGGACCATTGAGCCCCTCCCCAACGAAAAGTGTTCCTTCTTCAGCGGCCCGACCGTGTTCAAGAATAGTGCTCACGCCTCAATGCTGGCTGAATGTTTCGTCTGGATCCTGCTGGGCCTGACTGGGTCCTCTCCAGGTTTTGTGGCTGACGTGGAGGCAACTCCTGGGAGGACTTCGTCAGAACGATTAAGGCCGATGTCGCCCGATAAAAAGGCCATTGAGTAGGGTGGAATAAGGCCCGAATTAAGCTGGACATTAAACTGGATGAATCGGGAGTGTAAGCTGGACCGTGCGGGATTATGCCTGACTGGGCCAGTTCTCGACCAGAGATATACCAGCGCCGAGACTGAATTGAACCTCCCAGGAGTTGCATCCTGGTTGATTTGAACGACACGCACATGATAGGGTCCACTCTAGCAGAACAAACAATTGCAGAGACATAGGAACTCCGAGGTCCGCGCGACTTCCTCGGATCGGCGCTGGGGGGCCCTGGCGGCGCCTCTGGCGCCGCCCCCTAGCGCGCTCCGCGCGCCGGGGAGGCTCCAGCGCAGATCCGAGAAACCTGCGCGGATCCATGTTTCTGCCATCGCGAGTCCCTCTCGGCCGTCCCCCTTCCCTCTCTGCTTTTTACTGGTTAGTGTTAAGTCGGGCCTGTCCCCCTACAGAGGGGATTTTCGACGAAAAATACAAAATACCCCAGCAATGATCAAACAATAGTCCAAACATAGTCCGGGGACTATTTGTTTGAGTGTTCTTTCACCTTGTTGGGGGAATATTATAGGTATCTTTTATTTTTCGTCGACAATCCCCCCTGTAGGGGGACACGCCCGACATGAGGTTAGTGCCCCTTTCTGGCTTCGCGCTGGAGCGCATTTCGCCGCCTCGCCGCCGACGAGCAACGACAGAGGCTGCTGCCATCGCCTGCCCCCCCCCCCCCGGAATGCCGGGGCCCAGTCGCCCGGCGGGTGCTCCCCTCGTCCTTCCTCCCTCCTCGTCCTCGTCCTCGTCCTGGCCTCCCCCAGGGCGGTGCTGGATCCCCCCCCCAGCGCTCGCCGCCCTGGGGCGGGACCGGCGGCTCGTCTCTGTCGTGTCGTGTCGTCCGTGTCGTGTCGTGCGTGTCGTGTCGTGGCCGTTGCGTCCCCCCGTCATGTCGTGTCGTGTCGTGCCGCTTTTTGGTTCGGTCCTGGGTGTCCTGGGGTCCGATCATTGGGTCCCTGGGGGCGGGTGGCGCGGCGCCGTCTTTTGGCGGCGCCGCGCAGCCCGTCCTTTGAGACCCCCGTTGTTTTCCCCGTGTAGTTCGGTCGGGCTCGCCCGCCGGCCGCGCGCGCGGGGCGCCGCGCCGCCGCGGCCGGCGCGGCGACACCCTGCGGGCTGAAGGCTGCGTGGTGCGGAAAAAATCCTTCTTCTCCTCGGGCTCCCTCCTCTCGGGCGCACCCGAGCGACGACCGACAACACGGGTCCCTTTGCGCGCGATGGCACGGCGACCTTTGCGCCCCCCTCCGCAGCACCCCGATCGACTGCACGCAAGAGTGGCCCTGGGTAATTAACAGTGACCTTTCGTGCGCGGCTGTTGGGGGCGGCCGCGGGGGGACCAGACACGAGCGCGCAAGACGCTACTACCGCATCGCGCCCGGCCATCGGGGGACCCCATTGGGCCCGCACCACGGGTCACTCCGGCGAAGGGTCGCTCTTACGTCTTACAGTCAGACCTGGTGACCTGGGCCAGAAGAACATTCCTCAAGAACATGAGACCCTCCGCGGGCCAAAACAGACAAAACTCTGGAGGGTAATGAGTCTTCCCAGGGTGCACAAGAACGTCCAACGAACACGAAGAACGTCCAACGAACACGAATCGCATCGCATTGGGCCCGCACCACAAGGGTCACTCCGACGAAAGGTCGCTCTCACGTCTGGTCGACGCGAGGCCGAGCAGAACGGCCCATTGGTCTCCGGGCCCCCGATCCCCATCGGGGCGGGTCGCCCCGCGGGCTCCAGCTGCCCGAGCGCCCGCGTCGCCCGGGCGAGGTCGAGCCCTTGCGGGGGAGGAGGAGGAGGAGGAGGAGGAGGAGGAGGAGGAGGAGGAGGAGGAGGAGGAGGAAAGAGGAGGAGGAGGAGGAGGAGGAGGAGGAGGGAGGAGGAAAGATGTGGAGGAAAGAGGTGGAGGAGGAGGAGGAGGAGGAAAGAGGTGGAGGGGAAGGAGGAGGAAAGAGGTGGAGGAGGAGGAGGAGGAGGAGGAGGAGGACGTGGAGTTGGAGGTGGAGGTGGTGGAGGACCCTTTCCGAATCCGTGCGATGGTCCCTCTGCCTCCCCCTCCCCCTCTCCCCCCGCGAGGGGGGGGGACATTAACAGGAGGAGGAGGAGGAGGAGGAGAAGGAGGAGGTGGAGGAGGAAAAGGAGGAGGCCTTCTCAGAAGGCGGCGGGGCTTCTCAGAGGCTCTACGGTCTCCTCAGAAGTTGTCTGCGTCTTCGGGGAAGGCTTAGACAACGTCTCAGAAGGCCCAAGGCCGTCCGATTCTTCTGAGAAGGCCAGCCCTTTCAGACTTCCCCCCCCCAGGCTCGCCGCCAAGTCTGGCAAGGATTGCAAGGGGCAGCCAGCCATTGCGACGAGAATCCCAACAGAAGCCCAAGGAGGGGCCGAAACGTCCGACATCGGACATCCTCGATCCTCGATCCCCTCAATTGCCCCACCCTTCCTCCTTCCTCCTCGTCCCCCTCTCCCCGTCAGCGGCTCGAGACACGCCCTGGCCGCTGCGAGGGCACAACCGACTCCTGCTCCCGCTGTGAGGTGGTGCGCCAGGGCTAGAGCAGGCTCGGCAGCACGGCGCAGCGAAGGAAAGCTCGCATCGCCGACAGCAGGGACGCCTCGACTACGCGCAGGAGTGACCCTGGACAAGAGTGGCCTTTGGTGCGCAGCTCCTTGGGAGGCGCAAAGGGGGGACTGAACACAACCAAGACGCTACCATCGCATCGCATTCGGCGATCGGAGTCACCAGTGGGCCCGCGCCAAATGTCACTTCGGCGAAGGGTCGCACTTACGTGTTACAGTCGGACCTGGTGACCTGGGCCAGAAGAACATTCCTCAAGAACATGAGACCCTCCGCGGGCCAAAACAGACAGAACTCTGGAGGGTAATGAGTCTTCCCAGGGTGCACAAGAACGTCCAACGAACACGAAGAACACCAGGGTACCCTCCCCGAACCGACCTCGATCTTATTTCACCTCTAGAAATAAAAGAAACGGCATAAACATAAACTTTTGGCGCTCCGCGCGGACTGCTTGGATCTGCGCTGGACCCCCCCCTGGCGCGCGGAGTGCGCCAGGGGCGGCGCCGGAGGCGGCGCCAGGGGTGCCCAGGCGCCGATCCAGGAAACCCGCGCGGAGCGCCAAAAGTTTATGCGGATGCCGTGTTTGCCCCTTCGGTGCCTCGGTCCGGCTGCAGTCGAACGTTCATCAGCTTGCGCGAGCGCGCGGGGACCGACGCCCCGACGCTGGCGCTGCTCGCGGCGGCGAGGGCGAGGAGCGCGAGGCCCCAGGGCCCCTGCGGGGGCCCGGATCTGGCCGAGACCCGCGCCCTCCCCCCCAAACTCCGACCACAGCACCACAGCGCCCCTCCTCCTCCTCCTCCTCCTCCTCCTCCTCCGCCTCCTCCTCCTCCTCCTCCTCCTCCTCCTCCTCCTCCTCCTCGTCGTCCGCCTCCCTCTGCTCCCCCCCTGCCCCCCTCCTCCTCCTCCTCCTCCTCATCCGCCTCCTCCTGCTCCTCCTGCTCCTCCTGCTCCTCCTCCTCCTCCTCCTCCTCCTCCTCCTCTGCCATGTCACCTCGGACATGGTGGCAATCGTCCGACATTGCGGCCGGCACGTGGTGGCACGGTGCATGCCACCACGCTCGTCGCCCGCGCCGGCCGTGTCGTGACCACCCCGGCGTTAGCTTCTGACACAGGGTTGATCGGTCAAACTGGAACGATCGGCGGCTTCTGGAACGCCAGACCGCTCTGCACTGGCCAGTTCCAGGCCGCCGCCGGCGTTCAACCTTGCACGCCCTCAGCTGCCCCGGCACGCAACACGCAACGCATAGCGTATTGAGACGGAGCTCGACCCGCAGACAGAAAACGCGCAAGTCTGACGAGATACGTTCGCCAAAACGCGGGCCTACGCTGAGCCAACACGCAACGTGTTGACACGGACGTTTGGAGCACGGTACGCGTTGCGTAACTATCAGCACGGGCGTGCCGAGGCAGCTGAGTGCACTCCCGCTCAGGGGTCGGCGCCGCGTCGACACGAGGCGCACTCTGCCGCAAGCTGCCATTCCGCACTGACACCGTTCAGCTTCGAACGCCCGCGCTCTTGAGCCTCGAGGCGACACGACGCGACGCTGCCGTGAGCTGCCAATGCGTGGTGACACGATGCCTGCCACCCCGCTCGTCGCCCGCGCTCGGGGGGGGGGGGGGCCTGCAGGAGGCCCAGCCCGACGAGGCACGCCAGGAAGACGAGCGGCCGCAGGAGCGCGGGGGTGCCGACCAGCAGCCTCTGCCACAGGTCGCGCGCGGGGGCAGGGTCGGGTCGGGCCAGTCCTCCTACAGGGGAATTTTGGGCGATTTCTATATATATATATACATATATACATATATATATATACACATATAGAGAGAGAGGTATAAATGTGTGTATATATAAGTATACACATATATAAATATATACGCCACAAAGATTCAAACATATCCCAAACTTGTCAAACCATCGTTCCCAGACCATGCTTTGACTATGTTTGAACATTCCTCCTGAGGGGAGACAGGCCCGACTTCAGGGTAGGGGGCATCGGCAATCCCGCTGGCGGGACCAGTCAGCATCGGAACATCGGATCGCATCGAACTGTGCATCGGATCGGGGCGCATCGTCGAATCGTCGCGGAGTCGAAGTCCAACCGGAGCGGCCGCGCCGAGATGCGCAACCATGGCTGTGCAGGGATCGGGCCACATCTGATCCCCAGGACCTCTAAATCTGATCGGATCGAGCCATGTGAACTCGGCATCTGCTCGGCAAAAGAAGAACAATATTAAGAAGAACAAGAAGAAGAAAGACGCCGTGCACCTCTTGGGTGCGTTGGCAAAGGTGAAACAGCCGTCGTCTGCACACTTCCGACGGCACTGCTGTGGAACGCAACGTCAGGCAGAGACGACGGCGGCGGCCCCGAGGAGGACGAGGAGGAGGAGGAGGAGGAGGAGGAGGAGGAGGAGGAGGAGGAGGAGGAGTTGGAGTTGGAGGAAGAGGAGGAGGAGGAGGAGGAGGAGGAGTTGGAGTTGCAGTTGCAGTTGGAGGAGGAGGAGGAGGAGGAGGAGGAGGAGGAGGACAGGTGGAGGAGGAGGACAAGGGAGGCGAGGAAGGGAGGAGGAGGAGGAGGAGGAGGAGGAGGAGAGGAGAGGAGGAGGAGAGGAGGAGGAGGAGAGGAGGAGGAGGAGGAGGAGGACTAGGACTAGGACGGTGGCCTGCCTCCGAAGAGGCAGGTCCAAGAAAAGAGAAGCAGCGAAACAAGAAGAAGGGGCGACCGCGCTTTGCACGAGTCGCTCACCCCGGACAGGCCCCAATACTGGGGAGACGGTGGGCAACGAAAACGGCCGACGAAAAAATCGACACCTGGGAGGGAGCCGAACGCTCCGCTGCAAGATTGCACTGCTGAGTGGCGCTTGCCGCAACTCCCCAGCAGAAGCCAAGCACTAGGGGACGAGATGGGGGACCAAGGCCAGACTAGGAGGCACCACCGACGGGTCCCCCAGCTCGTCGTATAGCCGCGTCACTGCTGGCAACACAGGACCAGTGGACTGTCTACTCTTGGGGTCCAGTCCCTGCATCAAATAACCAAGCCTGTACTTGGCGGTGCTCGATTCTGGACGCCTGTTACACAATTTGTGAAGGTGTCCAACATTCGTGGACGAATACGAACCGCATAATTTACATAATACGTACCTACCAGTACGCATGACCACATGGCCGAATCCATGAGGGGCAGGACAAGCAGACCTATACAGCTCGAATTTGCAATGACTGGAGGCCCAACAGGCTATGCACCGAAAGCGTTGGACAGAAGAGTCCCATGCTAACTCATGTGGGACTCCCGTAGGCGGCATCACGACAGCCGCTGGGGGGTGTAGACATGGAGGAAGGACGGCCCGGGGAGGGCGAGGAAACCCATTCAGGCGCGGCAATATACGAGACATTACAAAACCTATGTATTTGCCAATGTGCTCTACTACAATACGCGACCTACTCAGACGTTCCATGGCAGCTCCATCAACAGGATGACGCCGAGCACCAAGCTTAGCAAACCTGTCAGCATGATCATTCCCCATTGTCAGCCAGGCGGCCTGGGCAGGAGAAGAGACAGTGAGGTGCGCCTTCACCTTGTAGATTTGAATGCTGTCGTAACCAATGTCGGCAGCTTTCGCGTGAATGCGAGCCCAAATGCCCGAGTGGGGACTCCAACCAGAGACAACTTGAGAAGATGGGGCATGCCAAGAATCCACCACCCACTGGCAATCGGTGTAATATACGTAGCTACCACTTGAATCCGGCAAGGCATGCAATAGGAAAACTAGCAAAGCCAGAGTTTCAGCACCAGGCACACATTGATGAGCACCGGGGTAAGCACCGTAGGCGGCCACGCGCGCCTCGCCAGATGGCCCCACAGCTACCGCAGAGAAGCCGCAGCGCAATGCTCTCGGTGAAGGGCCATAGAGACCTGAACCGTCGCCAAAGACAGGAGACATAAGTAGAGGCGCAGCCTGAGGATCACCGAAGAAGAACCATAGAATGCCCAACTCCATAGCTGGATGTGGCAGCAGCCGCTCTGGATCAGGAACCAGGGCTGAGTACCACAGCGGGTCATCGGGGAAGCGAGCACGAACGCTCTCGACGTGATCTGGCAGACCGTACGCCTGTCGATCGGACAGCGTGCCGTCACAATCCCAGAGAAGGTGACGAACAGCAGAAACTTCATCCGCATGAGCCGCCCCACAGAAGGAACACGTGATGGCCAAATGCACTGCCCCAGCGATGACGGATCGGAGTGCCACCACCTGAGGTCTCCCCCACGCCGGAGTAGTCATATTGACTAGAGTGCGAAGCGGAGGTAAGTACGGTGGACCAGCAAGGTGGGAGAGCACAAGGTGATGAGGAGCCGTTTGCTGCCAGCCCCATGCGCCCGCGTCCCAAGCAACCATCTTCTCGACATCGCGGGGCGAAACAACAGAAATATCAATGTGCAAGCCCTGCGGATTGATCCAGACAGTGGTGGTTTGGAAACTCCACCCCAAACGTAAGAGCGTCGCCACTGTAGTCGACGCCGGGCCATGGAGACTGTCCCAGCAGGTGCCGATTCGAACATTGTCAATGGCCCATTGGAAAGCCTCGTCCACGAGGTGCTGCGGCGCCAAAGAATCCCACCGATAAGCAAGATAAGCTAAGACGACCTCGGTATGGGCAGGAACCGCTGGGTTGACGATTTTCTCCATGGCCAGGTCCATGGTAACACAGCGGTGAGACCGCGAGCACATAGCTACGCGATAAGCAGAACGTATTTGCTGGATGTGCACCGTGCTCATCCCTGTAACTCCAGACCCATACATCACAACCGGCTGAAGACCTGAGCGGACAAGACGCCCCACGCTAGCCCCAGCCTTGCGCAGACGGGCCGTCCGGCGTGCACGATGCATAACTTCTTGAATGCGCGCCTTGCGCACGTGCCGCAGTAGCCCGCGCCGGGGCCGCAGCGTGAAGTCGATCCCCAAGTTCCTGGCGTTCTGAGCTCGGGGCGCAGACCTAAGCACAGGGACGGCCTGAATAACACCTTCAGCCAGCGCGGGGTCAGACGTCAGCAATGCCAACTTGGGCACGGACACTGGGAGCCGAGCAGAGACCGATAACACGTGCAGAAGCGACGAGGCGACAAACGGCGCCTGTTCCATGAGAAACTTCGGGGTCCCAACAAGCAAGCACTGAATGTCGTCAGCAACCATGCCATAATAAGCGTATCGAAACTTATCCACTTGGTGGTCCATGTCACGGAGCAGCGTTGCTCTCATAAGAAGGTCTGCGAATGCACACCCTGCAACTATGGTGCGGGTCGCCCGCACAACTTCTCCAGGGATGCCCTGGACAGAGACGAAGCGGGGTCCAAGATACAACTCGATCAAGAAGCGTAAAAGCGCAGGATTGAAACCCAATTCGAGAGCTCTGGGAACCAAAATGTGATGCATCACATTCTCGAACGCCTTCTCTATGTCAAGTAGAAGTGCCAGACAAGACCAACCGCGAGCGTGTGCAAGTTCCGCCATGATAGACTGCTTCCACACGCACGCCGTACAGGAGCGACCACGCACACCATACAGGTATGCTCGCGAAGTATGTTTTGCAAACCGTGCGCCCACAGTGCGCCGATACCAGCGCGTCATGATCCGAATGTTCGTAGCGAAACACGCGACGGGGCGATCGCCGCCAACTTTCTTAGGTAGCAAAGAGGAGGAGGAGGAGGAGGAGGAGGAGGAGGAGGAAAAGGAGGAGGAGGGGATCGAAGCGACATGGGCCCTCCCGGAGCCCGACGGACGGGCGGCGGGCCACCGCGCGCCCGCGGGGGGAGGGGGCGGAGGGGCGGCGCGCACCCCCCCGCGCGCGCGGAGGGCTCCACCCGCAGCCCCGCTGCATCGGCGATGCGGCCCAGTGCAGGCCGGCCCGCGCCTCGTCGAGCGCGCTCCGGCGCCGCGTCGAGCGCGCGGCCGGGGGTGCCGGTGGCAACACCCCCCCATCGGCCGCGGCGGCCGGCCCGAGGTGCGGCCCGGAGGCCCGGCACCCTCGGGCCGTGCAGCGATCACGACGCGGGACGTGCGTGGCAACGCTCTCGGCGTCCGGTGGCTCTTGCGGGGCCCCGGGGCCGTCGTGAACAGGACAGCTGGGCACGGAAAGCAGGCGGAGCTTGGACGGAAAATCAAACAGAAACAAAACATGCTCCCAAACTGCTCCAAACAAATCACAAGATCGCCCCCAGACTAATTATGTGTTGACGATGTTTGAATCTTCCTCCTGCAGAGGGACAGGCCCGACAGAAGGCTCGATCAGGAAGGAGCCCTGAGTCTCTGCATGTCGGCGTGGCCCGTGCCTCTGCGATCTGCGATGCGCTGAGGTCCTCCACACTACGCCACCTGCCCGGGGATTGCGGCCCCGACCATCGGCGCTGCGGCGCCATCTCTGGCTCCAAAGGGAGGCTGCCTTTTCCTATAGGGGGCGTGATGCTCTACTTCCGCCGGCCTCTCGCCCGCCTCCGCTGGCCTTCCGCCGGCTGCCACGTGCGGCTCCGCTCCCGCTCTGCTTCCGCCGCCTTCCGCCGAAGAGGCGCCAACCTCTCCCCACCCCTCGGAGGCGAGGCTCTTTGGGCAACGCCCTGGGCGTTTGGGAATTGCATCGTCGATCCCGCTGGGACCCGACCATTGGGGTGACGGACTGTCGCGTGCCGGCTGAGGGGGAGGCAACCGCAGCGCG